CGAGGTGGACACGGGCTCCGCTGGTGGCGACGACTGGCTCAATGAGCGTTCCTTGTTCCTGGGCGTCAAGAACCTGCGCAGCAGTGCCATCGTGATGCCCGAGTTCGAGGACTTCGTAGCGAGGTAGCTCTCCACTCGTGCTGCCGTCTTGAAGGAGCGTCGCATGGCGCGGGGGGAGGCCGCTCTGGCCAAGGGCATCGAGAGCCCGTCGGCGAAGCAGACCGCCAAGGGGAAGAAGGGTGATAAGGGAGGGGGTGGTTAGCTTGACCGCCGTCCTCCGTTCAGTCTTGTGCCGCCGCGAGGGGGTCTACCCCGCTTCCTCGAGGGCTAGCCGCAGGGGTTTAGGGATCGGCTGGTGGGTGTCGCCCTGGGGTGTTTTCAAGCTCTACAGGATGCGTCAGCGGGATGTCCTGCCCATTTTTTGGCCGCCGCCTCAGAGGTTTTGCTGGGGGGGGGGGGGGGGGCTAGCGGCCTGGGGCTTTCGCAGAGTCAGCGATGTCGACTTCGGCGTCGTCGAGCGCAGGAGGGGTGGCTCTTTGAGGGTATCCGAGCTTTGAACGAGCTAGGCGCTTCGGAGGCTACTTCTTCGTCGCCCGCTTCGTTGACAGCTGCGCAGGTTTCGGCCGTTCGTCATCTCGCTCGCCAATATGGGTCAGTGGATTCCCCGCCGCCTGATTGTGGGAGCTCCCTGGGAGCGTGGCAGGCGCTCCAGGGTACGCGGCCTGGCTACGCGGACGCCGCGTCAGCCGTCGGTGCCCGGGTGAACTTCGAGCGAGGGAATGTGTCATTTCCCGCGGGGCGATCTGGCCAGGTGCCGTTGAGTGAGTGCCTGCCTGTTGCCCTGCAGTCCGCGCTTGGAGATCGTTCAATCTTTTTAGCTGCCGAGGAGGTTGCCGCGCGTAAGCGCGAGTTTGGAGGTGGCCTCTTCCTGAATCCCGTCCTTCGGGATCAGTCTAGTCCTTTTGGATAATTCGCTGCTGAATTCTGGGGCGCTGGCGTTTTAGAGGCCAGCGAAGATGTGCTCGAAGAAAGCGGCATGCTTTTCGTGCGTAAGATCTGGCGCTCTCCGAATGATTTGGGATGCCCGTGTCCCCAGCCTTTGGTTTAAAGGGCCCCCCCGGGGTCGTCCTGCCCTCGGGGAAAGCTCTCGCCCATTTAGAGTGTTCACCCCATGTAGTGCCCGTCTTGCATGGGGTGATCTTTAAGTTTGCTCTTGCCAGTTTGAACTCCCCAGTCGGTACAGGTGTTTTTTTCGGCCTCCCCTTGATCCCCGCGTCCCACCTTCCCGCTCATCTCGTTGCTGCTTTGCCAGATGTAGCTCGGAATCGCGGGTGGGCTCGTTTCGTGCCCGGGTGGTGCCAATGGGGTGGAACTGGGCCGTGGCTCTCGCGCAGGCGGCGAATGCCCGCCAACTGAGAGACGTGAGTGAACCCCGAGGCCCCGTGGATCTTGGACAAGGCGCCTCTCCCGCCTCTTGGCGACGTCGGGTCGCTGCGCGGCTTGTGCATCGATAACTTCGCATGTATGAGTGTGGGCCCCGTCGTCGCGGAGGGGGCCGTCGTGGGGATGAAGGAGGAACTGGAGGAGAGGGGGGTCGTCTCGTCGTTGGAGACCGAGAGCCTTGGGGACCGCGACTTTATAGACTTCGCGCTTGTGGGGTCGAAGGGGGAGTGGCGTCCGAAGGTCAGTCGAGGTGAAGCTCGCGCGTGATCGCCTGTTGGGGAGCGGTGGGGGTGGTACAGGGCGGGGGGTGGGGAGGCTTGTTGGCCACGCCGCCGCCTTCTTTTCCTTGGCACCCGAGCTGTTGTGTGTGAAGGGGGAAAATGTATGTGCTCATCCAGGACAGCTATGTTCGGCAACAACCATTGTAGCCTTCGGTTGCTCGTGAAGTACGCTGGATTCGTGCCCTCCTCCCTCTTGCTCGATCTTGTATGCGACGTCCCTGGCGGGATCGGGTCTCTGGTTCTGACGCGTCTGCCTGGGGCTTCGGGGTCGGCTGTCTACGATGCCCCCTCGAGAAGGTTGCAATCGTTGGTCGACTTCGGGAACGTGCTCGTTTTCGAGGGTTGTTGAGTGTCTCGGGGGCTCCTCGATCGCGGGCCCCGGACCATGAGGGGGAGGCCTGCGTCTCGGAGGCGTCGGAGGAGGCGATTCTGGATCTCGGGCGTGTGAGGGGGTCTGCCGAGGTCCCCGTCTCTTTCTCGGAGTAAAAGCTGGGAAGGGGGCCTATGCCGGCCGCTGGAGGGGCGCACCTGGGTCGCAGGTCCAGCTGGAAGCGAGAGCGCGGACTTGGACTGTGCAACATCTTGCCCGTGATTGTAGTCTTTACGATTCGCGGGTGCTTATCCTGGGTGATAACATGTCGGTGATCTGTGCGCGTGCGAGGGGCCGTTCTCCGAAGCCTTCGATGAATTTCCAGTGTCGAATTTCGGCCGCGCTTTTTTTTAGCCGCTGGGCTCAAGCTGACGGATCGCTGGGCGCCGTCCGAGCGGGGCGCCTTGGACGCTGCCAGTCGGGTCTTCCAGCCCCGGCATGGCGGGCCGCGGGCGTCGGATGGGGTTCGTCAAGTGCCGCCTCTCTGCTGGTGGCGCAGCTGTGCTGCGCGGCCCCCTCCGCCTCCGCCGACGAGGGCGATGTGGGCCTGGGCTGCTTCGACGCGCCGTGCCGGCGCGCCGGGCCCCGCTCCCGTGCTCGCGTCGCGAGCGCTGGGCCGAGCGGCCATCGGGCTTCCCAGCGCGCCCGAGCTGGTGGCAGGCCGCGGGGCTCCCGCGTGGCAGCCTCTGGCCAGGCCGGCCCCCAGGCCTCCAGTCGCCTGGCGCGGATCCGCGCGCAGGTCCGACGGCGACTACAGGGCTTGGCGCCTGCCCTCACGCCGCTGCAGCAGGAGCGGGTGGGACCCATCGCGCAGCGGGGCTACTGCGACGTGCTGGAGCAGTCGGCCTCCTTCTTCGAGAAGCGGCCGCTGCCGCGCTGGTCGGGGCCGCAGTGGGGCCAGCACCTGCTGGCGTTTGTCGAGTGGGCGCGGTCCGCGGGCTGGGGCAGGGCGCTGGTGACGCGGCTGCTGGCGGCTCTGGCGAGGGCGCAGCCGTGCTTTGGCGGGCCGCTGCGGGCGATCTTCCCAGGCGCCCATGCCGCCGTGCTCGGGTGGAAGCAGCTGCGGCCCGCGCACAGTCGCCCCCCGCTGCCTCGGGGAGTGGCGCTTGCACTCGCCCGGGCCATGCCCCCGCGTGCCCGATCGGGGCGCTGGCCGTCGTCGTGATGTTCGAGACGTGCATGCAGCCGTCCGAGCTGCTGAGCCTCGCGGTGGCGCAGCTCGTGCCTCCTTCAAGCTGGGAGGGGCCCTGGGCCTACTGGGCCTGTTGCGCGCGCATGGAGGAGCTCGGCCGCCCGTCGAGGACGCAGGAGTTCGACTTCAGTGTGCCGTTGGACCTCGAGAGGCACCGCGCTCTGATCCCAGTGCTTCCATCGCGTGCTCAAAGGAGCTCGCGACCAGCGGGGGCGCTTGTTCGACGTCAGCTCCAGGCAGTTGCACCGCGCCTTCGCGGCCGCGGTGGAGCAGCCGGGGGTCCACTCGGTCGAGCCGACGCTCTACGCGCTGCGGCGCGGTGGCGACCGCCTGGCGCGGGCGCGCTCGCTCGCGGAGGTGCAGCAGCGGGGCCACTGGCGGAGTTTCCGCAGTGTGGCTCGGTGCGACAAGCGCGCCAGGGTCTCCTTGCAGCTCGGCAAGTGGCCGGCGGCGCGGCAGGCGGAGATCGCCTCGCTGGTGGAGTGCGGCGTCGCGCCCTTCGCCGCGCGCTGCGCGAGGCTCTTGCGCAGCCTCAGCTCGCGTTGCGGAGAGTATTCCTAGATGTCTCCTCTGGCTCAGGAGGGCTGGTGCGTGCTCTGGCCCGCCGTGATGTCGCTGTGGTGTGCGTTGTTCTTGTGCATGCGGCTCAATGTGACCTGTTGTGCGGCGATGTCTTCCGCGCGCTGCTGGGTTGGATTCGTTCAGACATGGTGTCGGGGCTGTGGTCTGGGGCTCTGTGCCAATCGTTCTCAGTAGCTCGGCGAGCTCCCAATGGTCGCAGTTGCCCCATCGGCTGCGAAATCAAGAGTGTCCGTGCGGCTTGCCGAACTTATGCGATAGGGATCGTTTATTGGTAGCAGAAGGGAACTTGTTGGCACAGCGTAGCGGGGCTCTACTTCATGTTTGTTTGGATCGCGGTATTTCCTGCGGTGAAGAGAGTCCAGCTCGATCGTTTCTTCGGTCAGTGTACAATCGACCCAATCATAGTCAGCGCAGTGCGTGCACACAATATGTGATTGACTCCTGCACATTGAGTGCAACCTGGCGTGCTCGAGCACGGCTCCAGTTGTTTAATTGTAAATGTCTTGCCCTCCTTCGAGCGAAATGTTTGGGTCGAGGTACTTTCTATGTTCTCCGGAAAATCGCATCTTCAACTCGATGGAGGTTTTCTCACACGGCAGAAACAGGTTTATCCCGAGGAGCTCTGTGAGGTACTATCCCAAGCTTTCGCTACCTCCTAAGCCTCTTGCGTGTTAATGCCCTGTGGCCTGTTCTCGCCGCCTTTGCTCCCTCTCGTCCCCTTTAATTCGGGGGCCTCGGGGGGATTTCCGTCAACGAAATGATAGTAGGTTCTTGCGCCGAATAAATTCGCCAGGCCAGTGCTGATTGCGGGGAGCTGGATGTGGGCAGTTTCGATTGGGCGTGCTCATTCGGTCTCCGCAAGCAGTGGCTTGGAAAAGAGCAGCCAACATCATGTTTGTGCCCCACGGGAATGATCTGGCCTGTGTATCCGCTTCTTCCTCTCTGCAGGCTTTTTGGTTCACCCAGAGCCCTCCCCCCCCCAAGAAGCTGGGGCAGTTTCGATTGGGCGTGCGCACTCGGTCTCCGCAAGCAGTGTTTTGGAAAAGAGCAGCCAGCATGATGATGATGAAGATGATGATGATGATGATGATGAACATGATGATGATGATGATGATGATGATGATGATGATGATGATGATGATGATGATGATGATGATGCAAATGATGACGATTATGCATATTATGCTGATGCTGATGAGGATAATTATGATGATATTGCTGCTGTTACTGCTGATGATGATGATGATGATGAAGGCGGTGGTGGTGATGATGATGAGGCGGGCGGCGGAGGAGGAGGAGGAGGAAGGAGGAAGAGGATCAGGAAGAAAAGGAAGAGGGAGGCTCGATCTTTTTTGGAAATTTTGGACGCTCGTGAGCGTCTTCGCCATTTCAGGGTGGTCCTGGGGGGGTCCACCGTGTCCCTGAGGTGTTGTCGACACCCTTCGTGGCGAGCCCCTTGGCACTGTCTGGGCAACTTCCTACCCGGACCTCTGGCCCACGCGGGGCCCCGCAGCAGCTGTCGACCCAGACACTCGAGCGGATCTCGCGCCTTTGGGCTGCCCTTCCTTGCCCCGTGGGTTGCCAGGGACGAGCCTCCGCCGGAGGTCCGAGCTCAGGGGGCCATCGGTCGCCCTGCATTTTTTTCAGGATCCCAGAAGTCACGATGAAACCAAAGAGCTCTCAAGCTGTGGATGCGCGATTTTTGCAATACTGCCTGATCGTAGTTCATGGGAAAGGTGTCCCTACTGGTTTGGAGCCCAGGCGAGAGCTGGGTATGCACATACACGCGTGGCCGCATGTCTTTCCAGCGCTCAGCCCAGCTATGGCTGCGAATGCCGGGCTGCCGCGCGCGTATCCAGCGCGTGGCCTCGCGGGTGCTCCGCTTGCAGCCACGTGTGTGCTTCCGGCTTCCTGGTGCAGCCAAGCAGCATCACGAGGGCGAGTCGCTTTCCAAAGGAAATGCCCCTGCATCCTTATTCCCCGCCCATCCTCGGGTTGACCCAAGAGGGGGTTGAGCGATAAGGGGGTGGTGCAATAGATTTGGTGCCATAGGTTTGTGGGGTTGCGATACATTTGGGCGTGCAATACATTCCCGGGCGCAAATGTATTGCTGGACTTTCGAGTTCAATACATTACTTGCAATACAATGCAATACAACTCTCCTGCGCAATACTTTGGCAATCCAATTGCCCCAAATCTATTGCACCACCCCCTTTCAGTTGGACCCCCTTTCGGGTCACCCAAACATCCGAACCGTTAACCATGGGCCATGTTTCGTCCATTTCGGCTTCAGTGTGGGCTTCCGAGGACCTTGTATCCGTACCGCGCATCCTTATGATCTGGCGCTGTACTATTCCGCCTCAGGTGTTCCAGTGAGCGGACAGATGAGTAGACGGCTTCTCCTTCTCTTTCCTCCTCCCTCGTCCTTCCTCTTTCTCCTCCCTTCTCCCTCCTCCCTCCTCCCGGTCCCCTCCTCCTCCCTTCTCCTCGCAGCCTTTCCCCTTCCTCCTCTTTCCCCTTCCCTCCTGATCCCCTCCTCCCCTTCGATAATCTTGCGTGTCGCAGCTCCTGGGAAAGCCTGCTCAAGAGAGCGGAAAGATCGGGCCAGGGGTCTAGGGAAGGGGCCCCCTTGAAGGCAAGACGAACATGCGCATGTCCAAAGACCTGAGAGCGCTGGTCGCTGCCCACGACGAAGCGATGGATGTGTTGGCACGCGGGGCGGGGCAGATGGCGGAGGAGGATGAGGAGGGAGGAGGAGGAGGGTTGCAGGAAGAGGGAGGAGGAATGAGGAGGGAGTAGGAGGAGGAGGGAGGGGAAATGAATATAAGGGGCGGAGGATGAGGTGATGAAGAGGGGCAGGAGGCGGATGAGGAGGAGGAGGATGAGGAGGAGGAGGAGGAGAAGGAGGACCAGTGTAAATCCACGACGCATCAACGATGCCTCCTTCCAAGGTCCCTTCCGTATGATTCTCTCACATATATATATATATATCCATGGCCAGGAGTGCTCCACTGGACGCCAACCGTTTGAGAATCCGCAGTCGTGCCAAAACACCCTTTCTTGGATTCGAATGCTGTGAGGCAGTGTGACTGTTGCGTCCTGGCAGTCCCAGACCGTGCCAGAGCGCCGTTCCTCGGACCTCAGCGCCGCGACTCCACGTGACTGCTGCGCCCTGGCATCCCCGAGCCGTTCCAGAACACCATGTTTGGGACGCCAGCCATGCGAACTCCTAAGACTGCAGCGAACTTTTTTAGACGAGTGTGCTCGGCGCTCGGGCGAGAGCCGCGCTTTGACAAGGAATCGCCTCGAGTGTTCGCGGCGCCACGGCGAGAGCCGGGCGTTGACAACCAGCTGCCCTCCATCCTTGAAGCCGCTGCAACGTTTCAGAACGAAGGCGCGCGGCGCTCAGGCGAGCGGCACAGTTTGAAGACGGGTCCGGCCTCCATCCTTCAAGCTGTTATGTAAACTCAAGCTTCAGGATCAGGAGTGGTGAGGAAGTCTCAAGCGAAGCGCTCGGCCCGCCCTGGCGACAGGTCTGGGGGTGCGGAGAGGAGTTATTCGTAAGGAGAGGGGATGGGGGAGGAGAAGGAGGAGGATGAACGACCGATATTCCGCCCCAGTGTGTCTGTTTC